CAGCACTGGAGTCTGCAGACCCAGCTGCAGGAATGCTTAGCCCAGGCCTAAATGAGCTGTGCAGAATCAGAGGTTAAATGATACTGCCCCCCTTCAGTCCCAGCCTGCAGCTCTCCAACTTCAAGCCTGGCCAGGGGCACACAGAGAGCCCTGGAGAGCACTATGAGGCTACTCAGAGCCCTCACTCGAACCCCAGCTTTCCTGGAGTAAGTGCTGGCTGCCAGCTGTGGACCAGTGCCCAGAACATGGACTCTACACCATAGGGGATGTTTCTTGTTTGTTGGGAACCGTTCCACATCTTCCCCAGATAATGGTATGTGAAATCATTTTGTGAATGGAATTAATTGGTATTATAGCAGCTGCTGTGACTTAAACTCATTAACCATGACACTCTCCTAGTCAAGAGCTGCATCTCTGCTCATCATACACCTTTGCACTGAGCTCAATGTCTTGCAGATTCAGGTGTTCAACAGGAACATATCTGGATCATCCTCCCAATGTAGACTTGGGAACCTTGAGAGACTCACTTCTATTCTTACAATGTGTGAGTTATCAATAGTGAATAAAGAGGGAATCTGAAAGGTGTGGAGGGATGGAACATGCACCGGCCATCTTGGTGACATCTATACAGAAGGGTCAAGGAGTGCCACTGGGGACTTGGGAAAACCCAAGTTTCTTAGTAAATACTGTGTGTGTGTGTGTGTGTGTGTGTGTGTGTGTGTGTGTGTGTGTGTGTGTGATCTGTTCACTCACTAGGAAACATGGGCTAATTTTTTTTTTCTAGAATGCAGAATTCTAGAACTGATGCCAATTAAATGATGCTTGCTTGCATTAGGAGGCTGAGGCTTTGGCTAGCATTCCTGTGATGAGACAATAAGGCCACAGGGGATGCCAGTTGGGCTGAGGCAGGTACATTTGGTCCTGGCTTGAGTCTATGCTGGAGTTCTCATCAATTCCTGAAGGCAGCAGCTACCTACATCCAAAGCAGCTCAAAGTGACTAAAAGAGTTTGAACCTACTCTCTCCTCCAGGCTGTAAGATTGCATTCAAAGGATCGAGTCATGTTAGGTGAAATAAAAACTATTATATCTATTTTCTCAGTCATCCATGGCCTCTGGGGGCCACCCCCGCCTCAGTGTTACCTCCTAGCAGACACTGTCTGCGAGAATAACAAAGGAATTCTGCTCTAGACTGCTCACTCCGCGTTCCTCCACCACAGGACCGTTTGGTAGCAGGGAAGGGACTAGATGCCAGGCTCAGCCTTCCTCCTTCCCTCTTAGGACTCTTTCCGTCTCTCCCCAGATCTCAGGAAGATCAGTTGTGACTGTGTTTTCACAGTGGCACAATATTCAGATTCTTTTGAAATAGAAATGTCTGTCTAAAGTTACCCGGGGTTTTCTGTCTCATGAAAAGACAAATCATGGGGCCATTTGTCCCAGTCTCACACAACTGTCTCCTTTCTTGTGCAAGTTGCTGACATGGTGTGTTCAAAGGCAGGGCCTTTCAGGCACCTGGGGAACCATGACTTTAAATCTTCATGAAAAGCAGATCGAGAACTGGGGCCAAAATAAATTCCTCGCTGTAGCATGAATCTTAAAAGGTCTTATTAATAAAAACAAAGCCAGGTATTGGGGTGAACGCTGGAAGATCAGAGAAGCAGAACAAGCCACAGCTTCCTCACCTTGCCATTCCTCAGCTGATCCTGTTTCCTCAGACTTGAAGCGTCTGTGTCCTTATCCAAATGGATCTCAGCTGAACTGCTTCTCAAAAGCCTGAAAGCTTAACCAGGCCTAGTTTCCAGTTTTCACACCTTATATACATTTCTGCTTTCTACCATCACTTCCTGAGATTAAAGGTGTGAGTCACCATGCCTGGCTGTTTCCAGTGTGGCTTTGAACTTATAGAGATCCAGGTGGATCTCTGCCTCCAAAAGGCTAGGATTAAAGGTGTGAGTGCCACCATTTTCTGGCCTCTAGGTCTGTCTAGTGGCTGTTCTGTTCTCTGACTCCAGATAATTCACAATATATTGGGGAACACAATATCACCACTCCTGACTGTTCTTTTCCCTGGTTGTCTCCAGGAAGAAACGAAGTCATATTCTCCAAGTGTGCATTGCATAAACAAGCAAACAAACACTACACATTTTTGGTCCTGAATCAATCATAGGGCATGTTGGTGCACCTCTCTGCAGCAGAGTCAGCTTTGGGCCCAGAAAAGCAACTATTGGCCATTTACTACCTACGTTTAGAAAGCTCCGGTAACTATACCTTCATTCAGCTGTCTGTCAGCATATGGGCTGATGGGGAAAGATGAACGGGCCACAAAACACACACGTGAACAGTGCAGAGCTCTCTGACCAACCATGAGGTACAGGATCTGCTACTCCCTTCCTTCAATGAACCCAAAATTATGTAAAAATGTCTGGACCACAGACATCACGGGCTAGGAGGATGCTTGCTTTCAAGCTCAGCTTTTCTAATTACCTGTCAAAATGCCATCACTTTGACGGCTGTCCACTGATGATGCAGGTTAAGAAGAAGATGATGGTTGTCATGGTGGGAGTAGGGGTGGTAACAAAGACAGTGATGATGGTGTTGACAGCACTGGTGATTATGGTGATGGTAGTGACTGTGTTATGATTGCAATGGTGATAACGGCAGTGATTAAAGCAGGGATGCTAACATGGTAAGAACAGTGGTGATGCTGAATATGTGGGAATGGTCATGAAATGATGGTGACAATGGGAGTAGTGATGATTACGCTGAGGATGGTGGTAATGACGGTAGTGAGAATGAAGGTGATGATGATGTTAAGAAGTGGTGGTGGTTATAGTAGAGATGCTGATGATGTAGTAGTGACAATGGTGATGAGGATAACAAATACTGTCTGCCAATTCGAGATGAAAATTTGGACACTTCGACCACAGCTTCTGTGTGAGGACACTGGGGAAATACATCCAGAAAAGTTAATATCAATGAGGCTAATATTTTATTAGTCGCAGCTGAATATTCATCCCAGTAAGTGTATTGGAATGAATTATCAAAGGATGCAAAGGTTGAACTTTCACATACTTCTGCTTCAGATATTTGTCTCACCAACCTAATCCTAACCAGAAACCTTAAACCTAACCCTATAATGTATCACTAACAGTAATCCAATCTTGACCTTAAATAAATTCAATCTAAAACATAACCCAACCCAACCCTGACACTAAACAACCCTAACCCTAACCCAACATTAACCCTAATCAAATCCTAACCCTAAGCTCTAACTATAATCAACCACAACCCAACCCTAACCCTAACCTTAACCCTAACCCAACCCCAATAACTCTAATTCTTTAACCCTAACCCATACACATACATACACAATACATATGTGTACACACTGTGAATAATATGTTGCTTTCTTTCAGTAGTATGTCTTTAAACTGCAGAATATATTTTACTTTTTTGTGCAGGTGTGTATATATGTGTATGCACAGTCATGTAGAAGCCAGAGGTTGATTTTGAATGGCTTCCTCAACTGCTCTCTACTTTATTTTTGAGACAAGTCTCTCACTGAACCTGCAACTCACCAACCTACAGACTAGCTGGCCAGTCCAGTGATCCTCCTGTCTCAGCTCCTAGCCTTTTGCATGGGTACTGGGGATCCAAACTCAAGTTCTCATTATTGCACAGCAAACAATTTTCCCTCTGACACATCTCCTCATCTTCTGTGCTTTGTACCTACTGCACACTTCCATTCAAGTAGGACATGTTCCAACAGTTCACTGGCTACCTGTGCTCAGTGGCACCGTACTGGACAGTCCCGTTCTGAGGCCTCTCCTCAAAGGACACACATTGTTCATCCTACACCTGAGTCATGTCTGTGGCTCTAGGATCAAAACCTACATGGGAACAGTCTCCTCCATCAGCTAACTGGAGAGCTCCTGCAGAGCCCACAGCTCTGCAACCTGGAACTGGGGTACTAGGCGTCAAAAGTGTAAGAATTCCCATGTGTTTGCATTCTTCCTTCTGGAATTCTGGTGGCTAACTTCAAAAGTGAAGCCTGAGTGTTCTAACTCATCTGCACAATGTAAAATTAGAAGATGGTCAGCTTTGAACACTCACCGCCTCCATGCTCTGTTTAAAGATATTTCATGACCGCCACTCCAGATTTGAAAGATATTTACAATCTAGCAAGATCTTCAGTCCTGTAGCTGTGAGAACCACATACAAGTTGAAAGTTGATTTATCTTATAATTAGGTTTGGGAAACTTCTTTGAATGTGACTAAGATGAACCATAATAGTCCATAGATCTTAACATAAGGGTTTGGGATCTTATTGATTAATTCCATTTTGGCTGCCACATTTTCATGTGTAAGCACTAGGACACCTTCAACTGGCCCCATCCTCTTCACTCTATTGAAAACCCAGACAGAAAACACTGGGTGTCCATTCCACTTCAGCCACTGTGCAGAGCACTGACGTGTGTGCTTCCTGTGGAACCCACTGACCTCACTTCTCTTCTTCCGCATTCACCGCCATCTCTTTCCATTTTACATTATATGAATTTCATCTGCCTCAAGTCCTTTCTCGAATGAGTCATATTTTAATTCATTAATTGATTTCATTTTAGTAACGGCCAAAAACTGACATTGCAAATATCAATTAAGCATACTGAACTATATAATGTCATTCACAAATTTCATTTATGAGATGTAGCTAAGTGACCATTAGTCATGAAGAGTAGAACAATAGGTTAAGACAACTCACACAATGAGGGAAGTGTTTGCAAATTCTATACCAATAAAGAACTAGTATGAAACTATGTAATAAACTCAATACAACAACAACAAAAAAAAACAAATAGCCAATTTAAAAAAGAAAGGGCCAGAAGGCAGGGCTTCACTCTCAGGTCAAAATGGCGGGCGGAGCCACTATTACAGAGTCAAGCAAGCAGCTGGATGGTTTTTGAAACTGGTATTATAATGCTGCAGGACTCAACAGACTGGGGGAATGCAAGATGACACAATATATGAGACTGAAGATGTGAAAGAAGCCATAGGAAGGCTTCCTGGAGATCTTTATAATGACAGAATGTTTCGAATTAAGAGAGCTCTGGACCTGACCATGAGGTATCAGATCTTGCCTAAGAAGCAGAGGGCAAAATATGAGGAGGACAAATTCTACCTTGAATCCTATCTGAAAGAGGTTATTCAGGAAAGAAAAGAGAAATAAGAATGGGCAAAGGAGTGATCTTGTAGTTGAGATCTGCGGATGTGCCTGGTCTCAGCATATTTTTATGAAGTTGTTTCAACCTGAATCACAATTTAAGAATTATTTGCTCTGTAGATACCCACTTTAAATAAATGACTATTGTAAGCAAAAAAAAAAAGAAAAAAAAAAGAAAGAGCCTAAAAAGACTTATTTCCAAAAAACAAAGAGCCAATAGGTCTTTGAAAATGGCATCAACAATTATCCTGGAAATGCAAACCCAAAACCACAGTAAGATTACATTCCCACCAATAGGGTAGTGATTGTCAAGAGACAAGGGATAAATACCCACAAAGAAGCCTTGGTAGAGGACAGGCTCTGAACCTGTGGGTTCTTACCCCTTCGGGGTCAAATATCATATTTTTACATTACAACTCATAACAGTAGCACAGTAGCAAAACTGCAGTTATAAAGTAGTGACAAAATAACTATTTTATGATTGGGGGTCACCCCAACCTGAGGAAATGTACTAGGAAAGCTGGGGACCACTATTCTAGGGTTTGGGTGTGAGTGTGAATTGGTACATCCATCACAGAAGATAATGTGAGGCTCTTTGAACAACTAGGAGTAGAATGGGATACAGCAATCCCATCACTAGATATATGTCCACAGAGAATTGAAATCATGGTGTTAAAATGATATTTGCTTACCCAGAATCATGGGTGAAGTACTCTCAGCAGCAAGATGCAGAGGCAGCCTTCGTCCATCAGTCAAATTAGGGATGGAAATAAATGTGGAATATAAACATAATGGAGCAATATTTAGTCTTAAACAAAGAAGGAAATCCTACATTTACTATAGATGAGCCTGGAGAAAAGAAATGGAACATGCTAGGCAGAAGGGGGAAAATACTGTCTGTCCTCATTTATAAATGGAAGCTAAGACACTGTCATTGCCAAAGGCAGGAGGTGGGGAAACAGGTAGGCAGATGTTGGTCAAAGGTGCAATGATAAGATGAAAAATTTCTAGAACCCTGGCGTGCAGTGTTGTGACTGTTGTTACAACAGACTATTTATCACACTATATTCTACTGTTTCCTGAAATTTCCAAAGGGAGTCAGTAGTGAGCCATCTCACCCTACAGAAGATGACTGTGTGAGGTGATAGATGTGGTGACATTTCACAGGACATATGTGTTACAATTATGGTTTTAAAATGAGATACTACACTTAAAATTCTGAAGATAAGATTATGTTTAAAATCCCTCAGATGATCCAGCAGGCTGAAGGACAGTGGAGGGGGTGGCATGAAGGATCACACACAGCATATATTTTCTCGAAGGTTTCCCTGATTCTTGTCTTACTACAGCTGAGAGTTCACTATAGAGTTTCCATGTTGTATCTGCCTGGCTAGTTAACAAGCAACCTGGGCTTGTCCATCCCCACTCCGGGACATGCTCTTAGCTCAGTGTTTGTCCTTGGAGAGCCCCATCTTACAACCAGATCTCGTGGGTGTTGTTTTAAGGCTGGTTTCTTCTTCATTAACTCCACTCACTTAGGACAAACAATAGAAGAAGAATTCCCTGGAAGTTGTAGTAAGAAGGGCCTCTGCCAAGTAATTAGAAATTAGTAATTTCTAATCAGGGCCATTTAATCACCCAAAGAGCAGCGTGTGCTTGGTCCGGCCACTGGATACGGTTCTATTAATACATGCAGGGAAAACACTACCATACAATAACGCATTTCATCAGGGCAGGGTCATCACTTCTGCTGATGTGCTCAGCTTATAACCAGAACACAGTCCTTGATAAGGACAGAGCTCCTATAGTGTGGAGAGTGCAGAAAGAGGGGTTTCCATGGTGACATGCAGCTACTGTGAGAAGGCTTCCAACAAGTGGACTGATGGCTTTGATGAAAGACATCATGAATCTTCCTATCTCTTTACTCTATTTGTTCAGTAATACCCAGCCAACATTACGGAGTGCTTGTAACTATATACATAAGAAAGAGCGGGGAGAGAAGCTTGGGTCTCTGCAGTAATTGGCCCCTCTCGGCTTTGACACTGATGCACTCTGCAGCGGGTAGTGTTCTGCTGTAGGGACCGTCCCATGGATTGCAGGTTCTTGAGTGGCATCTCTGACTTCCAACTAGATACCAGGAGCACTCCCAGAGAAGACAACCGAAAATGTCTTCAGGAAGCCCGGGTGTCCCTTGCATGACAAAATCACACTCAGGTGGAAATCAGGGATCAAGTGAAGAACACGGACAAGAGCAGTTCTCAGACCCATGTTGGGACGGCAGTCGTTGCCATGGAGAAATAGGAGGGACAACTGATTCCATGGAATAACCAGGAGGTGAAGGAAGTCTTCCTGGATGATGACACCCTAGAAATGGGAACAGTGGGATAGGCCTGGGAGGAGATTCGAACTGAGGGCAGGCATGTGGTAGCAGGCTAGACCTGGGGTGGGGAAGACAGAGAACCACAGGAAGCTCTATGATGCTCATGGAGATAGGAACTAAGATCCAGAAATAAGTACATGATGAAGGAGAAGTCCATGGTGTATCTGTTCGTCTAGTCTCCATCAAGTTCGCAGTAGACACAAGTACACACCATTCAGAAGGCCTCCAGGCAGCCCGATAGATGTGACTTACACTGTGTGGAGCCTTTGTTTCTATGTTCTCTCTCTCTCTCTCTCTCTCTCTCTCTCTCTCTCTCTCTCTCTCTCTCTCTATCTATCTATCTCTCTCTCTGTATGATATGTTGTGAGGGGATTTGGCTGCTGTGTGGGTATGTGTAAAGGCCAGAGATTGATGTCAGGATACCTTTTTAATCACTTCTCAAGCTTACGTTTGACACCTGAAGCTTGTTCTTTTAGTTAAGTTTGCTGGCCCATGAGT